TAAGATTTGGCATAGCAGTATGCAACCCGGAAATCGAATTTTAGATCGATCGATTTTTAGCCGACACAATCTAAACGAGAATCGAAGATCTTTTTAATATGAGCTCAACGATATAAAGACAGACGAAATCTAAGGTCGGATAACAAAAATTATAAATATTTAACGGACTTTAACTGTCTAAGCCTATTAAAATATAACTTTAAAAATAAAGTCAAAATTAACCGACGGAGTCTAAAACGAAATTTGAGTGTACATAGTTAAGTGATCCTTTCGTTGTATGAATACCACTCATAAATATCACTCGTTTTTCCTTTCCATACACAATATTCACAGAACTCTAAATCAACAATCTTTTGTTCACCAAGTAATCCTCTTCGACTCAATTCAGACATACCTTGAAAACTCATATGGCCAAGTCGAAGGTACCAAAGACGGGACTGGTTTGGATAAGAAAAAGACTTAGAAACAATAACAACAACATCACTCGAAATCATTTGTCCATCAAGAAAGTAAAGATCTTAGGTTTTGCACTTGGCTCTCAGTTTGTCAAAACCATCTTTGATTACCCTGAGAACTCCACCTTTACCCCAACAAACGTATATCCCTTTTTATCAAAGGATATGACATATAACAAGTTTTTTATGAGGTTGGGAACATATCTAACTTCCTAATGGTTCTGATAACCCCGTCAAACATAAGGATTTTGATTGAGCCATGTCCAACAACTAGACATGAAGAACTGTTACCCATCAGAACATAGCTTTGGTTAACCATTTCAAATGTGTAAAGCCAACTTCTGTTGTGACATAAATGAAAAGTACAACCAGAATCGAGTATCCATTCACCATTGGAATCAAGTTTATCTTAATAAACTGTGAGAAGTTCTCCAATACAACCAACCTCCGCTACATCGGCTTCACCCGAAGTGCTACCTTGTTTACCATTTGTTGTTGCTTTCTCTTTATTCTTCAACTTGAAGCATTCATCAATCGTATGTCCCTTCTTGTGACAGTAATTACAAAACTTTTAGATATGGTCATGTTGGAAGATTGAGGGTTTTTACCACTATTTATTGTAAAAACTTCATCTAAGACAAGTGTGTCACGACTATAGATGATGCTATCACGAAAATGGTTGTAGGATTCGGGCAACGACGACAACAAGAATAAAGCTAAATCTTCATCTTCATACTAAACATCCATATTCTCTAAGTTTCTTACTAACTCTTTAAATATGGATACATGTTCGGCTAAAGAACCTCCTTCAATCTTTTTAAGATTGAACAATTGTTGCTTTAAATGCAACTTGTTTGGTAGGCTCTTCGTCATCAACAATTGCTCCAACTTTAACCATAAAGCAGTCGCTGAAGTTTCTTTCAAAACATTTTGCAAAACATCATTTGACAAATGCAAACGAATCTGGGATTTAGCTTTTAAATCTTTCGTCTCTTTTTCTTCTTCCGTCCACGAAGCGGGCTTCTTTGAACCCATAAGCGCCTTATGTAAATCTGTCTGAATAAGAACATCTTTCATCTTAATTTTCCATAGGGGAAATCTGGTGTTTCGATCCAACAACAGAATATCGTACTTCATTAAATACATGATCAATCATTTGATAAAATTATCACAATAAACTAATATTAAAATTCGAAGGCTTTGATACCAATTATAGTAACCAAAGAGGGTAAGATGCACTAAAACGAAAAAGTCATAATGCATCAAACAATCCCGAAATCTGAATAACGAGAACCATATTAGTTCAAGCAGAATAGGACTAAGATATCAAATCACAATCAATCATACGTAATGCAAACTACAAAGCAAAAGTAAATCAAAAGAGACACAGAGATTTACGTGGAAAACGCAAATTAGAAAAAGAAAACACAACCGGAAGAAGCCGAGAACCAATCCTCTAAAATATTGCAATGTTTCCAGAGTTTGATAAAAAAGATTACAGTAAACTATAATGATTTGATGATAAAAAAGAAAAACCATAAAAAATGTCCTTCAAGAATGGAAAAAGAAGTAGAAGTCTTCAAAATACTCTGTTTTTGAAAAAAATCTGCCTTCATTGGGTTTAAAAGGGAAGGGATAATGTCATAAAAGCCTTAATTTTGTAAAAAAAAAGTTGGTTTTACCCTCCGACGGGTTTTTGTGTCATTAATGCCGCATACTTGTCTCACCTTTTGTGTTTATGCCAAATACCCGGTTGCAAGAGGGTTTACCGGTTACCCTCTACTTACCCCTCAACTTTTCCCCCTGTTTCTTAACCCCATTTACCAAAAGACGAAGCTGGGTTTTTGAAGAAGAACATCACGAAAACAAAATCAGATTTGTACACCAAATGACAACGTCGAAATCAAATTCAAGCTGGAGTGGCACATCAAGAAGGAAAAATCGGGAGATAATACGATGTAGCTGTGGTGATATTTGCCCTATTTATGTTTCACGCACTCCAGAAAACCCAGGACGAAAGTTTCGTGGCTGCCCTAATTACCGGGTAATTGTTGTGATGTTTGCCCTAATTATGCTCTCTCTACTATCGTCCCTTCTTTATGTAATTTTATTCTTCTTTTTGTAGGATGAAGATGGTGGTTGTGGTCATTTCAAATGGGTTGATGAAGAAGAAGACGAATTTAGGGCTTTTAAGAAGCAATTGAACCTTCAACATAAAGATATCGAATCTGTGATGTTGCTCAAACTGAGTGTAGGGCTGCTAGTGAGTATTTTGGTATGTCTTGTTGCGGTGGTTATTAAGATGTAAGTTAGATGAAATGATAACAAGTTTGTAGTGTAGTTTATTACATTGGTAGATGTACTAAATCTGTAAAAGTTTGAATGGTGCAATAGTATTAAAGTTTGTATGGCTATGATCTATTTCACCATAACACAAATGGGAAGTAAGATGCATAAATGGTTTTCAAATGTGCCAATAATGGTACACATGTTCACCATAACACAAATGGGAAGTAAGATGCATAAATGGTTTTAAAATGTGTCAATAATGGTACACATGTTCACCATAACACAAATGGGAAAGTAAGATGCATAAAATGGTAATAAAAATTGACAACAATGGGTAACACATTCATCATAACACAAATAAAAGGGGGTGTATTAATTGCATAAGGTTTTTTACATCTCACTAATACGTAGCAGCCATCCAATTGTATCCAAAAACCTAAATAAATTATCAAAAAAGGCAACCAAGTTTATAACATAAAACAAGTGGATGTATGCTGCATTTAATGGGTGGAATGACAATAATATTTAGCAAAAAGGGCTCCATCTGCCCGTGTTTACCCTCCCCACTACACCCCCAAAACACTTAACCAACTACTCCAACCTAACTGGATTGCTAGCAGATGAACCACCTCCATTTTTGTCAAGCACCATTTTCTTCAACATCTGCAAAATGATCCTTTCAGAGGGTTTTCTTAACCTTGTCAATCTAGGGACATCATCAGGACCTTCATCATCACCCAAGTGACCATCATCACCTCCTTCTTCTTGTTCACCACCACCATCAACAATACCATCAACATCATCAATAATAGCCTCATCATCATTATTAGAAGGATGATCCAATACATCAGGATGATCCAATACATCTTCCATATCCTGATATTGATAATTACATAAATAAATTAAATTGGAGAAAAATAATGAAAAACACTTACAATAAAGTAATTTCTTACCAACTCAACAGGTAGCATGTCATCCAGTTCCAGTTCTACCCCTTCCATAGCTTCAATTTCTTCCATGCTATATCCTGCTTCCAACATCGATGCAATCTGTTCAGCATCCAGTTTTACCTTATCTACAAGGACACCATCAGCTTTTCCATCATTAAACTCAACATTACCCCCATAATCTGATTGAGTAGCATCATAGGTTTCTGATTGTTGTTGAAAACTACCCTCCCCTAATATTTCGTCCAGCCCCTGCTCAACCTCATCAAGTACTTTGTGTAGATCTAAACCAACCCTTGGAAGCAAAACATCTTCTTTTCCAACATCAACCACTTCAACAATATGACAATCTTCAACAATAACATCATTAACATCCCCAGTCTGAATATCATCACCGTGACCCCCAGTCTCAATACCACCACCTTCCCCAATCTGAATATCATCACCATGATCCCCAGTCTCAATACTATCAACATAATCCTCATTCTGAATTCCATCACCTTCCCCAATCTGAATACCATCAACAACTTCTTTTTGAGTTGCAGAAACATCTTCTGTATGAGGTGAAGTAGCCTCTTTTTTGGACCTTGATGCTTTTAAAACCTTGGAACTTGATGCTTCTTTCTTTGACTTATTTTTCTTCTTTGGAGGCTGACTGGATTTAGAAGCTCTTAATGATTCATAAAATTCAGTTGCTTCTTTTTTGAACCTTGATGCTTTTAAAACCTTGGAACTTGATGCTTCTTTCTTTGACTTGTTTTTCTGCATTGGAGGCTGACTGGATTGAGAAGCTCTTAATGACTCATCATATTCAGTTAACAATGGATGTTTCCTTGGTCTGCCTCTTTTCTTTGGTAGCAAGGGTACTACTGGTTTTTTCTCATTCTTACAACTTTTTTGATTATGGACATACTCTAAGCATTTCCCACATCTTACTGTTCTTGGTACAAATACCCTTGTTGATGAAAACCTCCCCTCTTGCTCACTAGCATGCCTCTTCCTTTTGGTAGTAGGCCTACCTGGCATTCTCCTAGCCAAAGGAGGCAATGGCTTTATGAATCCAGTTTGGCTCCAAAGATTACTCCCATTCACTGGTTTGATATTAGAGGAGTAAGCCTTTTTAAATTTTTCCACTGAAAAGTACCCATCAATATATACATCTGGTGTTTGATTGATGTAGTTGATGGCTACATTTGCATGTACACATGGGATCCCAGACAAATCCCATAATCTGCAACTGCAAGTCCTGCTGTCCAAGTCCACCATATAGCTGTCACATCCTCTTCTAGCTTCAAAAACATGTCCTTGACTATGAACTACAACCCATAACCTGCATAAGTTGGTATAGTAAGTAAGAATAATAAAAAGAAACAACACATGTTAAATTTCTTTTATGCATACCTCATATTTTTCCCAAACAGCTGCATTTTCCTAAGTATAATAGGACAAACATTTGATTTCCATTTAACATTTTCCTCTGTCATGTGGGAAAACCTATCCATTATATATATCCTGATCTCCTCAAGCATTGTGATAAGGGGTTTTTTCCTAGCATCAACAATGATTGAGTTGAAACACTCAGAGATTCCATTCTCAACTACTTCACACGCATAACCCCTATCAAAGTAAGCTCTACACCATGTTTTTGGTTGTCTTGACATCAAGTACTCATATGCAGATGGGCTCAACTTCTTGATGGTTTCCATGTACCTCATAAAGTCACTTTCTACACAACTCATTGATGCAACCCAAAATAATTTCTTGAACTCCAACCCTGTGTATGCTTTCTTGAAATTGGCATAAACATGCCTGGCACATTGCCTGTGCTCAACATTTGGGAGTATATCTTTTACAGCTTCAACCAATCCCTACAAGACAAGAACATTCAAGTCAATATGCATCCCTTTTAAATTGTATTAACATTTATATAAAATGGAGTATTGAAAACAAACCTTATGTTGGTCAGATATCACCACCAATCCTCTGCCATCATGAAAGTCTACACTATCTCTAAGAAGCTCAATAAACCAAGTCCAGTTAGGCTTGTTTTCAACATCAACAACAGCCCATGCTATAGGATATACCTGGTTATTAGCATCTCTACCAATGGCAGTCAACAACTCACCCTTCACCTGTCCTTTCAGAAAGCATCCATCCAAACCAATTACTCTTCTACACCCTAATTTCCATCCATCACTTAAAGCTTTGAAACCAATGTAAAATCTGTGGAAGTAGTTCTTCCCATCTGGATTGACAGTGACACTAACTTTGCATGTTGAACCTGGGTTGGACCTTAATAATTCATCAGCATAATCCCATACCCTAGCATAATGTTCAGTTAGTTTTCCTTCAATCAACTCAGTGGCCCATTTTTTTGCCCTACGGACTTGCCCAATGGATACTACACATCTCAACCTTTGTTTGATATCGGCAATCATGTCCCTAAGTTTCATCTTAGGTGTGTTTGCAATTTCAGTAATGTAATGCCTACCTATCCATTCAGGGGAAACAAGACTTCCAAATTTGAACTTCCTACTGCAACGATGCTCTGCAACCAAATTTTTAACTTGAAATGATTTTTCATTGTACATCCATCCAGCATACAATCTGAAAGGACAATCATTCATCTCTGTCCTCTTCCCACATATTGCAACTAGTCTAGTTTTATCACATTTTTCAAAGTATATCTGATATCCATTTGACACCCCATAATTTTGAATACAAAACTTAAGTTGTGCAGGAGACTCAAACATATCACCTACCTTAGGTTCCATCTTATCCCATGGTGTGTTTGCATCATGAATTCTGTACTTATTCTTCACCGCCTCTTGTTCACCTTCTTCATCACTTTGCCATTCATTAGCATGATAAACTTGTGCTCTGATTTCATCAGCCATGCTTGAATTCCTTAAGTTTTCATCACTAACTAGAACATTGAGAAAGACGTCCCTACATTTATCAAGCGCAGTCATGAACTCATGCTCTGGTTCGTGATCCATATAAATACCATGGAGCTCATAATCCATCTCATTTAGTCTAGAGAAGGGCTCGTATATACTAGCAAATAGTTCTTTGAAAACGTCATCCGATGAAGCCATTACAGTTACCTGTAAAATCAAAAAGATTTTACAAACAAAATCGAAGAATTTTAACTAGATAATTGCTTTAATCATGGATTTGAGAAACTTACTGGTTCAACAACTCAACGAGACTATCACCCAACTATCTTCCTGCTAGAAAAACGATACCAACAATGTAGACCTAATCCTCTTCAAATACCCAAATTTCGTGATGATTCCCTTCCAAAAGCCCAAGATTTTTCTCAGTAGACTGCGATTGAGTTGACGCTTCGGAGAGAGGGTGTGGAGCTCTATGTCTAACGTTTACCCAACGGGGTTAATTTCTTCATTGGTTAAGAAACGGGGGGAAAAGTTGAGGGGTAAGTAGAGGGTAACCGGTAAACCCTCTTGCAACCGGGTATTTGGCATAAACGCAAAAGGTGAGACAAGTATGCGGCATTAATGACACAAAAACCCGTCGGAGGGTAAAACCGACTTTTTTTTTACAAAATTAAGGTTTTTTATGACATTATCCAAAAAGGGAAAGGTCTTTGATCAATTTAGCTAAATTTGGTCCTTCAAAAATAGAATATTTTCATTTCAGAAACAAAACTTTTTTAAACGGAAAACACCCATTTTAGACTATATCACCCCTTTTATAGCACAACTTTCAATTTTAGAAGAAATATTTTCACAATATAATTTTACAATGTAGTCATTTCTCATTGAAGAACCCAATGGTGCAAGATTTTTAAACCTTAAAAGACCATCGGTGTTATAAAATGTAAATTTGTCCTCAACTTGAAATTTTCAGAAGTATTTCTCTATTTTTATATCATATATGAGATTTGTTTGATCGACGACTGATCATTAAATAATTACAAAGTTTGAGGTTCTATAGTTTAAGTTATAGTTTCATTGTTTCAATAGAAAAACACAAAAGTCTCAACATTTATTTTACAAAACTACATAAACGTATCCAAATAAATTGTTTTCACTTGTGAATGTATACAAACAAAGCCCAAAGTATTCTACATTGTCTCATAAACTGACGTGGCATCTGCTTATTCGTCAGTTGTATACCTTGTTAATACTGCTCCGTAACAGAATATAGACTATTCATCCACGGATTGTCATCATTGAAGTCCCCCTGAAGTTTCATATTTTTCATTTCTACCCCAGAAGTTTCATTTATCTCCTCTCGCCCCCTCTTTTTCTTTCCATCTCTCAGCAACACCCCAAACAAACGAAAACAATCACCGTCTTTGTCGTCATCATCACCGTCCGTCTCCTGGACCACCGTCTCCGTCTCACCAACCACCACGTCGCCGCTCATTATGCGACTGACCTGCTCCGGCGCCACCTTCACAGACTGAGTCAGAAACGCGACGAGATCGTCACATTGCTTCTTCGCCTGAGCAAGCTCCGACGTCAGAAACTGTTTCTCTTTCTTCAGTTTCTCGTTCTCGTCGGACAAATTCTCGAGTTTCTCCACCGTCGGGAGAACCACCGAGCCGGGATTCTTTGAATTCGGCGACGAGGTGGAGCTAGAGCGGAGATCATCACCGGAGCTAGAAGGCGGTGACGCCAAACCACCGTCTCCGTCGGACTTTCCTTTTGTTGGCGTCACGGTTTTCCGGCGGTGGATCTCGATGAGAAGGTCCTTCCGACCTCGTTTGAAGTATTCGTTGGCGAACTCCCATTTGTCGGGAAGAGTTTTGTGGAACCCCTGTAGAAATTCAACTTTACACTTTAGCACCTTTTACTTTGTGCGCATGCCACTAACCGACCATCTTTAGTGCGCGTGTCAAACGTTTAGAATATAACAAATTTGTATTTAATTCAATTATGAAATTATACTATTATTTACTTTATATAATGTTCAAAACCTTTTTCTATTATCTATATTTATTCAATGTTCTAGTAATATATCAATTTTCACGATTAAGAGTAATTTATTTTTGTTAAAATCAAAATATCAGAAGTAATAAAAACGAACTAAATAGTAAATATATATTTTTTATCATTAAAATGTCAAAAACGTGTAGAATTTGTCAATGGCATTAGCATTGGATTGTTTATTTTTCTTTTATTCATAAATAAAATAATACATTTTGTACAAGTACTAAAACGGTTGAACGAGTTCATAAATAAGATTAAATTTTTTTTATTAACCAACTGATAAATAAAAAATTAACAAATAGCTGATAAAAAATAATGTTTATATAACAAGTTCAGTTTATAAAAAAGTGATTTTTGAGTATAATTATTATAATTCATAAAAGATATGTTTGCGAGGGTTTAAAATAATAATTAAAAAAACTCAATCAACTCGATGAAACTTTGATCTTGATAGTTTTTTTAAGCTAATTTTTTATTGACAAACATAACAATCTAAAAAAATTCAAAATTGATAATTTTTTATAAGCTAATTTTTAATGACAAACATAACAATTTGAAAATTAATATATCAAGTCATTTAGTCTAGATTAGTTATGAAAAATCAACCATATATAGTTTTTAAAATGATTAAAATAATAAGTTCATTAAGTAAAAAAAAATAGCTCTAGTCTTGCACTTTAAAAATACTACAACTAAATAATGTTTTAAATTAGAAAAAAAAAAAAAAAAAAAAAAAGTTAAAACCATAGAATAATTATAAACCCAAAAGGAGTAAAGTTTGGTGAGAGTGTGAAATGGAATCATTGAATGAAAAATTCCTTTTGATGATATTGATATTCTACACATGGGAGGTACCAACACCTAACTCACAACAAATACTTTTACTTTATGCAAAAACAAAAAGTCATTAATTATACTTTTTTTATTTAATGATTTATATTTTTCTAAAATGAAATGTCATGGTGACGAATATATATCATCATTCATCATTGTAATCCTAAGTTAAAAGTTATATCTATGAATATGATAATGTCTTTTACTCTTTTATTTTAAATTATTTTATATTTTAGCGTTTGAGAATTGAGACTATGGTCAAATATATTTAAAGTCTCACGATGTGTGCTCTCATTGTAGTCCAAGTTGGGAAAAGTTTGAAGCTAACAAAAGTAGATATTATTTCAAATTTTCAACATCAACTAAGTTACGTGATTGAATAATAATAATAAAATAAAGATCAAGATGTAAAATAATGATCATATATTTGTAAAATAAATAAATAATGTATTAAGTTTGGTAATCTTTCATTCTCTTTTGTCATAATATTGCAGTGTATGTCATAATATTGCAGGGTATCTAGAAACACTCTTAATGTTTGTTTTTTCTTCTTTCCTAAGTAAAATTTTGTTCATGTCGAATTGAATATTGCATGATAAACCAATTCAATAGTAACGACATTTGTGGATTCAAATTTTGAAATTCATCGTTTATAATCTTTTTGGTATTCAAAAATGACATTGTTACTATGATGGTTTAAGCTATATAATTTAGATAAAAGATACATGTAGACGAATTAACTAGCACAAATTGTGCATTTTGGACATAAAAACGAATTGGAAACAATAAGTTTTAGATTGAAAATGTTGATTGCCTCAAATCTAAACCATCATTTGAATAAAAATAAACGAATAAGCATATCAGATTACGAGTATATGATTGTTGATGCATGAGAAGAAAAGATTATGAAGATGGAGATGATTCAAATGTAAGGAATGAAGGAGCAATTACTTACATAAGTGTTAAGCTGACGAACAAAGCTGGAGAAATTGTTGTGTTTGAAGGAATTAGGAAGCAAATCCCTAGCGAAATCAGCAGTTTTCCAAACCACAAATCCATTACCGGTTTCGTTCCACGAAATCATCTCATCCGTAATCGGATCATCCACCAACTGATACGTCTTCATCAGAAACGGCGCCGGAGCAGATCTGTGCACCATTTTCAGTTACAATTTCTAAATCTTACCTACCTCCGATCGAACTTAATCTACTTAATTGAAACCTTATCTACTTAGAATCGAAAAAGGAAAGTTAAAAAATCTGAGTCGATCAATCGAGAAGATAAATCAGTAACTAAAAAGCAGAAGAGCAGTGAGGAATTTCCAACTCCAACAGTAAAATCCAGAAAGGAACGATCGAGAACGAGCCAGATCGGAAATCGGAAGATTGATGGTGTTGGCGACGGCGGTTGATGACGATTTCTTATAATTTTCCATGAGTATAATAACCAACTTGATGAATTTGCATACAATTTAGGGAAGAGACGTTCATAACTTCCTACACGATTCTAGTTTCTGAAACCACCGATCAACAATGAACATTGAAAGCAATTAAGGAAGAAGAAGAAGAAGAAGAAGTGTGGATACTGTATGTGTAATTTTCAAGCTGATTCGTGGAGGAATACTACAAAATGCATTTATAATGGCGGAGGTGGGGTTGGTGGTCGGGTGTGAAATGAAAGAATACACGACCACCAAAAAAGAAGAAAAATGTTTTATTGGCCACCTTTTTTCAACCCTTGACAAGTTAAAATTGCATGACCTTAAAAATTATTTATTTTTTATTTATTCCATTTCAAAATAAATAAATAAAATAATATGATTTGAAGTATTCTTCGTTGTCTTTTCTGTTTAAGAGTCAAACAAACTGTTGATGGGTGATCTGAATTCTTTTCTCGTGAGTTACTAGATTGTTTCATTTTCTCTTTGTTCTTACTTCTTAGGATATGGGGATTTTCTTTGTTATTCATTGGTTATGGTTTTAGTTTTCTTTTTGGATTCTAGTTGTTAGCTTATAAATTTCTTGACTTAGTTGCTCTTTGTTTACACATGGTGCCTCTGTTTTTGGTTGATTGTTACAACAAATGGTATTATAGTTATTTCCATGCAAATGTTTAGTCGACTTCTTCTACACCTAAAAAGGTTGTCACTTATGTCGATTTTCTTCTATATATGCACAAAGTGTTCTTGAGTTTTTATAAACTTGCAAATGTTTCAATCGACTTTCTATAGAACATGTTAGGTGATATTCGATGATGACATCAATGAAAAACGACCTTCTATTGCTGAGCAAAACGGAAACCGA